AAAGACGCCCTTTCTCCAGAGTGGCCTCGCTGCGGCAGTATCGTCTTTGAAAATGTCACACTACAGTACCGAAGAGACCTACCGATCGTACTCAAGAGCGTGTCCTTTTCCGTTAAAAGCGGCGAAAAGATTGGAATATGCGGTCGAACGGGGTCCGGAAAGAGCTCACTGATGAGTGTACTCTTTCGCGTCGTGGAGATCCCGAACAGCAGTCGAGTTCTCATTGACAATGTGGATATCTCAACTATTACACTGAGTCAACTACGCTCGAAATTGTCAATAATTCCGCGAGATCCTATGCTGTTCAGTGGCTCGCTGCGTTTGAATTTGAACCCACATGCGGACAAAAGTGACACGGAGTTGTGGGAAGCGCTGCGTAAGGTGCATTTGCATGGCTCAGTGTCGACGTGGGGCAAAGGACTTGACTTTGAGGTGGCCGAGAAGGGCGACAACCTGTCTGTTGGACAGCGACAGCTACTTTGCATTGCACGAGCGCTCATTCGGGACAGCAAGGTGATCGTGATGGACGAGGCCACTGCCAATGTGGACCAGGAATCGGACAAGGTGATCCAACAAACAATGAGGGAGAGATTTGGAGGCGGTGGCCAGACAGTGCTCTGTATTGCACACCGTATCGACACAATTATGGACAGTGACAAGATTGTGGTCTTGGATGCAGGTGAAGTTGTGGAGTTCGACACTCCGAGTGCACTATTGCAGATACGTAATGGACACTTCAGACATCGCTTGTTGGTTCTACCAAGGCCCCTATCATCGAGTAGACCAGCTGTAGACCACAAAAAAAAACGTAAGATTTTTTATTCGAAACGAAATAACAACGATGAATTTGTCGTTCTTAAAAAAAAGTTTACAACTGACATGAAATGTAGATTGGAAGTAGCACAGATTTTTCAAGCTAGCTTTATAGCGACAGATTGGCATGCTTCGCCACTTTGCTTTCCAGATTCACAGCGCGTGAAGAAGAAATAGGTACCGCCACAATAAGAAACCTCGCTTTAATGACCAAGTAATATTTCAGCTGACAACACAAAAGCATGAACCCAGATCGAGACGAGAATGTGGTTGGCATCCAAGCGCTCAACAGCGAAAACGAGGCCACTCGATTCGATGAGGCACTAAACGGTTATTTCCGTGTATCTAGCGTCACCCATAATCGGCCCAGAGGCCGCGGTGGGCGTCGCAAACGTCCTCAGTCTGCCGAAAACGACCCAGAGAAATGTCTAAAGCAGCTCAAGCGAATTCTACGCGACGCAGAAGCCCCAGTGCAGTCTCAATACATTCGAAGACTCCACGCAGCGATTTTGCACCAACTTAAGCGTGCAAAGACGTCGCCTACTGTCTTCTCCAGGGTCCGTTTATCATCTTAACCTTTGTACCATTTCTACTATTGACAATTTCTTAAAAAAAATATTTAATTTGCAGGCGGTACAGCTTTGTCAAGAAATTTTCAAACGATCGACAGTGCTCCGAGCGCTTATAGCAACACAAACGTCCTCATTCTTTGGCCAGTTGCTGCTAGCAGCAGGTGAAGACCCGAATGGCAACGTGTCGAAAGCTTTAAGAGCCAGAAATCGCGACTCGCAGCAGTTAACGATGGTATTGGGGCTGATTGAGACGTGGAAACAGGACTTTGGGGACAGATATCCCTCCATAGTGGCAGCGTATAATGTGCTAGAGGGTAAAGGGTATAGATTCCCTCATGAACGTGAGAGACAGCAAGAGGTCAGGGAGCGAGAAGTGAACACGCGACGACATCGAGAGCGAGTGAGAAATGCCAAGAAACAACAGCGAGATCGAGAGATGAAGCGGTATGTGCCAGAGATGGAGCAGGTGCTGGTCGAGATGAATCGTGTGTTCGAGATCTTGGTGCCGACGCTGGATGCCTTCCACATGGAGGACGATACCGAGGAGAAGCCGACTTTAGCCTCGAGTACTGTGAATATGCCTCTTAGTACGGAACACAGTAATGAACGGGGCAATGCTGAAGAGAGTGGGAACGATGATACGCTATGGGCAACAGCGCCAGTAGATGCGGAAGAGCAGGAGGATGTCGAGTGGGAGAGTGTGGGAGAGGAAGGAGACGACGCCTTCGAGGACGATACCAGCGAAGGCGAAGTTGCTGAAGATGGCATGGATATAAACGACATTGTGCAGGCCTATGGACTCGGTAGCTCGTCGTATCAGCTGACAATTGAAGTGTCCAAGCAGGTATGCGAGGAATCTTCGGAGAACGACGCACTGTATCGAACTCTAGCTGACGGTGCATTGCGCATACGAAAGCGTTTTAAACCATTATTGGACGACTGGGAACAGCACTCTACGTTGGAAGTACAAGCTCCATCCGATTTTTTAAATTTACAGCCTCAGCGTGAGGTGCTACAACGGATTAATGACCTCCGAGATCGAATGACACATACGCTACTAAAATGGGACGATCTCGTCCACGACTCGAAGAAATCCAAACGAGATGACGCTATTCAGTCGGCAGTGGTATCGGTGCCCTTGGATTCGTATAACTTACCCATCAAACGCAAACGACGAGCGTAACTGAAAGGCCAACCTCTCCAACCCGAAGCGATTTTTTGTTTTAATACTATCAAACTTGGCGATCAATTGCAACGTAGCCCTCTTTTACACGAACAATAAAGGTTTAACGACTTTATTATCGATTAACCTTTCGATTATTTTAAGTCGAGTTGCGCTTGGGATATCTTGACACCAGAAACAGCGGCGCCAGATACGACGCCAGTCCCGATATGAGCGTCTTTCGCCCACTTGGGCAACGGC